AAAAAAAAAAAAAAAGATTTTTTCTAGTTCTTATAAACTAGCACGGTCTTACTTCGTCTGACCAAATCCATAACATTGACAATATTTTGATCATCCTTTTATAGTTCTACTCATAACTCATTAGTTATTGTAAAATTTGTCTCATTAAAAGAAGACAAAATATGAAAATCAAAAGGTTGTATCTGCACAAACAACAAATTACATTGCCCTATTTGATCAGCAATAGCCTCATCCTTGATTATCATTTCAATAAATTTAATTATAAAAGAGAACATAGAGATAATGTTCGACTTCGTTTTATATAGACTATTAAAAAAAGCTTAAAATTGCTTTTATTATGTCTCGCAAATTCTCCAACTTTGTCTTTTCTTCCTAAATATTTATCTAGAAATTATAACTACATATATTAGCAGCAAAAATCCAGCCTGGGCAATTGCCCAGGCTGGACCAAGTGTAAATCCGCCCCTCCTAATATTGTGCATTGAACTAATTTCTGCTTATAAACCTCGAAAAGACTACAGTCTCTCCGTATGAAATGGTTCCGTGAGGGATTTTAGCTTTTAAATATGTATGCAAGTTAGTTATTATAGATAATCTATCACTAAAATCCCTCACGGAACCATTATAAACCTTATTTCACACATTCGGTGCATTTGCAACATCCTAATTATTTTCCTTATAGTTCCAAATCACATTTCAAGATATCAACTTACAATTGCATTAAAAATAAAAAACCACATGCCCTCATCATAATACGTTCACCCCCAATTTTTTTCACCAGTCATACACCTTTCTGAACGGAGCTGGAGGAAAATTATTCCCTAGATAGAAGCCATCGTCCACGACTAACCAAACACACTTGTTACCAATTTCAGGGTCCCGAGTTTCACAAGAGCCACCAAGCCCCTTATTGAAAACATCATGACTTATCTGCCTGCCTTCTGTTACGTACCGACAGTGAAACAACGTCGTTCTAAACAGGTTCACGCGGAACTTGAAGTGAAAATACTGTCCCGGTAGAAGAGTTTGAGTCCCGAGATAGTTATCTTTCGAAGCGCACTCCACATAAAGCGTCGAGTCCTCCTCCGGGAGAGAGTTAAATATGAACACGGTGAATTTTTCGGCCGGCGAAACTTTGGACGTGAAGTTATTAATGTCGTGCGAACGGAGTTCGGTTGCTCGTATGAGGTAATAATTAGGCGATGAGAAGAAAATGGTGATGAAAAGAATCAGCTTGTTGGTTCTGAAATTCATTGTTGTGGCTGTGGATGATTGATTTTATTGGGCAGCTTCTGGGATTAATAGATGATTTTCATCACCTTTTATAACGAGTGAACTTCCACATTAATTAGTTGCTTTAGATTGCGAGGTTATGATTTCGGATTATCATGATTTGTTATTGAAATATGAAATAATGTTATGATTGACATTAAAGGAAAGAATGGAACAAGATTGCCTCAATAACACTAATAATAATAATAATAATAATAATAATAATAATAATAATAATAATAATAATAATAATAATAATAATAATAATAGTAATAATAATAATGATAATATATATTATTGAATTTATTATGTTAATAATAATAATAATATAAGTGATAATATATGTTATTGAATTTATTATATATATAACCCATTCCAAGAATATGATTCATTGGCTTAATTTGACCCATTCTATTTTAGATGATGATGGAAATAGTTTTTTTACCTAAACATGCTAATTACTATTTAAATTATTTTTATACAAAATATATTTTATCAAACATATATTTATACTTTATTATATAAATAACTTTAGGTTGCATTTGCATTGAGGAATTCGAAATAAAAAAATTCAAATCTTTTAAAATTTAAATTTTCCTACTTCAAACTTCTTGAATGGTATTTGTAAAATGAATTATAATTAAATTCGTTATCTAGCTCGCATCGATGGTGGTGACGAATCTAAATGAATATTCATACTCAGGGACGGTGTGATCTTCAACGGTGGGATAAATAGTGGATTTCAAATTACTAGATTTGATGAGTTATTTGAAATCCTTCAAAGGATTAATGATTAAAATTTATCTGGCGTGAATTTGTAATCCTCCAACTTCTATTATCATCCGGACATGTACGGGAAATTGAACTCATAAATTTGAAATCTATAGATTTCAAATCCCTCAATAATTCTCTTCCCAAATGTTGTCTGATCCTTATTTGTAAACCAATATAAATAACAAATTTAATTTGGTTTCATACATGAAATATTAACTAATAAATTTATTAGCACTTTAAAAATAATTATTTTTTATTTATACATAAAATTTGAGTGTCGAAAAGAAGGTAGTAAAATGAAAGTTAATTTAATATTAGATACAATGAATAAATAATAAATAAAAATATTATTTAAGTTTTTAAAAGTAATGACACTATAACTAAATAAAAAAAATGAAAAACAAAAGGAGACCGTGAACAAAATAGGAAAACAAATTATAGTTACGAAAGTTCCTCATGTATGCATTTCAGAAGAGCAACATGGCCAACAAGAAGATGCAAGGATATGGCAGGTAACATGCACATGAGATTTATGAGGATCTCGTTATGTACATGTTACGAACTGAATAACAAACATAAATTTATGGGTAGCGGATCAAAAGGTTTGACGTAGAAAACTTATGGCTTAAAATTTATCTGAATCTGACGGGATTCAGGATGATCGAGAACAACACACGAACGGAAGGCGGGGATCAGTCGGGTCGGGTCGTGTGTGGTGGTTGGAACGCCGGAGGTCGCGAGCTTGCCGTTGACTGGTTGCATGGCTCGATCGCGTAGTCGGCGGTTGCGGGGGGTCTCGGCCTCGTCGCGGCGGTGGTCCGACGGGTCGGGCTTATCGCGGATAGGCTCCGGTTGATCTCCGGGGTCTCGGTTACCTTCGGTATCTTCTACTGTATTACTCATACACCTCTTCAACTTGTATAGGTGGAGCAACAAAAAGAAGATAAAGCTCAAAGAGAGAGAGAGAGAGAGAGAGAGAGAGAGAGAGAGTCGGGCGTGTATGTATATTTCACCTAGGAGCATTCTGATCTCTTCTTCTATTTTCCATGAGCCTAATGATGCATATATAGAGCGGAGGAACCCTTAGAATATTAGGAATATAGTTTCTTAAGTAATGGACTAATTGTGGTCTGACTCACTCTTCCAATTACTTAAATAATATTATGGGTTATAATATTATTGCATTTTCTTTTCCTAGCCCAAATTACAATTGAGACTCAAATAATAGTTACCCGGATACCTCCCCAGCTCAAATTACAATTGAAACTCCAATAATAATTACCCGAATTACCTCCCCATGTTTAAGATTAATGTCCATTAATTCATTCGATTACTGATAATCAAGAATTAATTAATATATTATTATTTCACCAAAGCTAGCGCTCGTTCATCACATTATTACTATGCCTGAATTTAATACAACAAGATCCAGTATGTAACCGAACACATCATCATCGTTAATTTTTGTCTTTTTTACATATATATATATAATTGTTGGAAAACTTCATTTAATTTTATTGAGCCCTCAATTACTAATAATATGAGTTCATTCAATAACAATAGGTTGCATTTAATAAAATATTTTATGACCTCCATCCAAAAACCGTTACAACCTTTTTTTTTTTTTCTTTTAACATATTGCATACAATCATCCACCTATTTTTTACAATATTTTAGATTTGTAACGGTTGCATGCAATTACCATTTTTTATTTCTCTATATTTGAAAAATATGATTACGAGATAATGTTTAAATCCTTAAACTAGTACAACACCCGTGTATTATACCGGTGCTTGTTAAAAAATTATATTTAAATTTTAAAATTAATGAGAAAACTATATTAAATTTAGTTTACTTTTTTACCAAAAAAATATATTATTATATATTTTAAAATGATATGTGTTACTTATAACTTACATGTGTTATATTATATTAGTTTTTATAACTTATATCATATAACTACTTGAAATATAAATATATTAGTTAATAAATAATTTTATTTTTCTAATTAATATTAAAAATAATTTTATTATTGTTATAAAGATAAATATAAATTATTTTTTTTATACATACAATATGGATGTTAAATCGAAGCTCATCAAAAAAAGATTAATTTGATATATTACATATGTAAACTGATAAAAATTACAAAAGTTATTAACTTTTAAAATATATATACAATTCAATAGTTATAATAAGGAATAATATTAAAATGCAATTAATACATTTAACATGACCATAAATAATCAACATATTTATGGTATTCCAAACCTAATTATTTTTAGTTTGGAATTAAATTAAAATTTACACCAAGCCTAATAACGAAGCATGTAATTTTGCCACATAGGATTTCGAAGCACCAGAAGCAGCCACGTAGGTTTTTAATTTGTATGTTAACTAATCACATGCTAAAAGTATTAAGTATTGATATGCTAGAGATACGATGCAAAATACATATAAGATAAGCCAACCATCTTTAAAAATAGAGATCTCTACACTAGCCCATTCAAATACAAAATTTTCATCCAAGATTGTACACTATTTTAGTTGAATTTAATGAAAAAATAATTATCTATTTTATTTTATATAATAAATATAGTAATGAATTTGGATACTTTTATGATGTTCATTTTTACTAACGACTAAAATTTTTAAAACGTGATACTATTATTTAACTTATAATTTTACAATTATATAAATATATAGTCGTAACTTATAAGTTATGATAATTTAAGTTCTGTGCATGTACACATGATCAAATACTAGTTTCTAACTAAAATGTAGGAACAAAAAAGAGAAATAAAAAAGAAAGAGAGAATAAATGCCAACTTTAATCACAAAATGTTATTATTAATTAATTTTTGTTAAGGACAGAAAACCGATATGAGAACCTTATTGTTTTATTGAAGGAAAACCAATTACACACATACAAGCACATATAACATACTTCGGTTTCTTTATCCTTTTTGTAAGAAAATATAATTTGGCATTAATCAAAAATATTATTTATTTATCATATTTGTGTTTCTTGAAATAGGTATCATGGAATAATGCTTGAAGAGAAAAGGGAAGATCATCTCATCTTAACTTTTCATATCTATTAATATATAATAAGGATTAACTTAATTAATTTTTAGAAATTATTTTCCGCCAAAAACATTAATTACTGCCTATAAATAGTAATTTAACATAATTTCATAAAATCACTCTTAATTATCCCCGATTAACATTAATTATTGTAAGGAATGGAATAAAAATTAATTTTTCACGCCATTATTTACGATAAGGAACGTACATACCTAATATGGAATAAAAATTATTTTTTCACGCCATTATGGAATAAATCTCCTATTCAACATGTTTTATACTTGTGCAGATTTAATACAAAAATAGTTTATATCTTCTACAAGATAATTCAAGCGTACAAATCCATAAGATAAATTTTGTGGCCGCATATCATCCAATTTTTGTACAGTCTGCCAACAAAAAAATAAATATTAATATTTTAATTCATCAACTAATTAAAGTTGGACTCTCATGTAAAGATTAATATTTACATTCCTATAAAATAC